TTTTTAAAAGATAGTTTTGCTGGATATAAAATTCTTTGTTAATGGGTTTTTTTCTTTCGGTAATTTGGATATCGTCCCATTGCCTTCTGGCTTCTATTGTTTCTGAAGAGATGTCAGTTGTGAATGTTATTGGGGTTCTCTTCTATATGCTGAACCATTTTCCCTTTGCTTCAGGATTTTCTTTTTGTATTTGCCCTTCAGCATTTTACTATGATGTGTCTGAGTGTGGATCTCTTTGAATTTATCCTACTTTAAGTTTGTTGAGCTTCTTGGATGTGTAGATTAATGTTTTTCAGCAAATTTGGAGAGGCTACAAATGGGTCCTGACAGGAATAGACACTCTGAACTGAGTCTTGCATACCTGATGATAGATGCAAATGTTCAGAGTACTATAAAAGGACCAGAATGGAAGATATTGTACCATTTTGGACCATCAAATTACATTTCTTCAGACAATGGAATACACTTTACAACTGTATTAGTTTGCTTGGAACTGCCATAACCAAATACCACAGACTGGGTGACTTAAACAACAGAAAATTATATCCTCACAGTTCTGGAGGGTGGAAGTCCAAGACCAAGCTGACAGCAGGGTTGGTTTCTGGTGAGAATTCTCTTCCCAGCTTATAGGTGACCACTTTCTCATTGTGTCCTCACATGGCATTTTCTCTGTGTACACACAGCACTGGTGTCTCTTCTTCCTTTTTTTTTTTTTAACATTTCCTTTTCATTTGAAATATTTATTTATTTATTTATTTATTTATTTATTTATTTATTTATTTATTAAGTAGACTCTTTGCCTAATGTGGGGCTTGAACTCATGATCCTGAGATTAAGAGTCACATGCTGTAATGACTGAGCCAGTCAGGTGCCCCTCTCTTCCTCTTTCTCTAAGGCCACCAGTCCTATTGGATTAGGCTCTACCTTTATGAACTCATTTAACTTTATCTCCACAAAGGACCTATCTTTAAATACAATCACATTGAGAGTTATAACATATAGATTTTGGGGGGTATACACTTCAGTCCATAAGAACAACCCATAATGTCCAACAATGGGCAAAGAGATACCCTCAGAGTAGTGGTTTTATTTATTTATTTTTATTATGTTTAGTTAGCCAACATATAGTACGTCATTAGTTTTTGATGTAGTGTTCAATGATTCATTAGTTGTGTATAACAGCCAGTGCTCATCACCACACGTGCCCTCCTTAATCCCCATCACCCCATGCCCCCACCTACCTCCTTTCTGTAACCCTCAGTTTGTTTCCCGGAGTCCAGAGTCTCTTATGGTTTGTCTCCCTTTCTGATTTCTTCCCATTCAGTTTTCCCTCCCTTCCCCTATGGTCCTCCGTGTTATTCCTTATGTTCCACATGAGTGAAAACATATGATAACTGTCTTTCTCTGCTTGACTTATTTTACTTAGCATAATCCCCTCCAGTTCCATCCATGTCGATGCAAATGATGGGCACTCATCCTTTCTGATGGCTGAGTAATATTCCGTTGTATATATGGACCACATCTTCTTTATCCATTCATGTGTTGAAGGGCATCTTGGCTCCTTCCACAGTTTGGCTGTTGTGGACATTGCTGCTATGAACATTGGGGTGCATATGGCCCTTCTTTTCACTACGTCTGTATCAGAGTAGTGGTTTGAGCAATGAAACAGGCAACTGAAACATTTGTTGTCTAAAACTAGGGGAGATAAAGGCAGGAGAGCCTGGCTTACACACCTTTGCTAGTGTGCTCACACTCAATATGGGGTGGGGGCAAAGGAGGGTCTCCAAGAGATAGATTCCTTCACTTCTCAGAAGGATCTGGGCTAAAAGGGGTGGGACAGAATGTTGATATGATTATAGTTTCCTTTGACATCACCTCAACTTTTTTTTTCCCCCTACCTGATTCAGTGGTCCCAGGACCAGGGCTGCAACTGCAGGTGCCAGAAGAGTAATGATCCCTGAGCAAGAAATTTTAACTGTACTTTTAAATGTTTATTATTTTTTTAAGATTTTATTTATTTATTTGACAGAGAGACACAGCAAGAGAGGGAACACAAGCAGGGGGAGCGGCAGGCAGTGGGAGAGGGAGAAGCAGGCTTCTTGCTGAGCAGGGAGCCTGATGTGGGGCTTGATCTCGGCGCCCTGGGATCATGACCTGAGCCCAAGGCAGACGCTTAACGACTGAGCCACCCAGCCACCCCATGTACCTTTAAATGTTTATGTCAGAATTCCTAAGGGCCTAATGTGATAGATTCTGCCTTCGCCTCATCTGGCAAAATTGGGGTTGACAAAATGTAGCTGTATTACTTAGTGGTTGAGATACTCCAGTAGTTCCGAACCTATGTAATGATGATACTCTATATGAATGGGAGTAGACTGAAGGGAAAGCATTTGCTAGACTGGCATTGCTGTTGACAATCTGGACTAGGACAGTGGCCAAACCTACTGTTTCTTCTAAAGGTGAAAAATTTTGGATTAAATTCAATGATAAATGGAGAGGAGGAATAGTAGCTGAGAGTAAAAGAATGAATAAATAGGTTATGCAACAAGGGAAATCCATTAAATTGGTACCCTGAAAGGTTCAGAGCAAGAGATAATATTGTCTCTTTACTCAGTTATATCAGATGCCTGCAAGAATGAAGCCATATGTTGCCAAGAGTGCTACTACTTTTGGAACCTGACAAGGTGGAATGGGAGCCTGCAAACTGAGTGGCGTTGCTTGGGGAGATGAGCTGGACCAATTGTTGATGACTGAGTGGGACTCTAGTAATGTGCCAGTATCTTTTGAGTATTTTATTTTATTTTGGAAAGAAGACAGGAGATACGCAAAAATTTAAATGTACAATACCTTCTTGTTGACTATAGGTATAGTGTTGTATGCAGGTTACACTGGCATTGTTGCTAAGATTATATTTATATTGATGGTCAAATATATTGAGTAATTGAGCTAAAGGCTTTTCAGGATATAATACTGATGGAAAATGGCTTGAAGAACTGGATTTAAGTAACCATTAGCTAATTTCTATGATAAATAGTTCATCACAAGTTCATAATAAGGTACAAATAGAAAGGGGAAGAGTAATCAAATAAGCATAAAAACATGAAAATGTGTATAATGGCCTTATAGGATGGATTTGTTTTTTACTATTGCTGATGTCATATAAATGCTATACTAAAAGGAAATGCCCAGGTAAATATATTTTGCTGTGAAAGAGCATTGGCCAAAGGTCAGGGGGTGGCCTGTATAGTAAATAATTTAACCTTGCTTTTGCCCTCAGCTTCTGGAAAATAATCTCTAGGCCCTTGGAATGTCATGCCTGATAGGAATGTCTTTGTTTACCTGGGGGTCTTATGCCTTCCAGATAGTAACTATGTGATTTAGGGTTAGGGTGAGAGCCATATGAACAACAAAATGAAGTGTGGGAGCTTTGGTTCATGAAGCTTGGCCTCCTGAGGGTTGGAAACGGAAATCGTGTGAGCAGTCAACCATACCTACATGATGGAGCCCATTGAAGGCTCTGGACACCAATGCTTGAGTGAGTTTCCCTGGTTGGCAGTACTCCATGCCATTGTCACATATCCATTGCAGGAGAATAATGTCTTGATTCCATGGGGGAGGACAACTGGAAGCTCTTCCTTCCAACTGGAAGCTTACCTTCCAGGACTCTGTTCCATTCCCTTCTTCCCTTGACTGATCTTAATGTCTATCCTCTAGCTGTAATAAAATGTAACTGTGAGTATTAACAGCTTTCAATGAGTTCTGAGAGTCCAACTAGTGAATTACTGAAACTGAGAGTGGTCTTGGAGACCCTTGAACTTGCTGTTGCTGTCATAAGTGAGGGCAATCTTGTGTGGGGACTGTTTCCTCTATCTTCTGCACAAGATAAACATATAAACATCAATTGACATTCTATATACTAGTAATTAACAATAAGAAATTTAAATTAAAGGGGCACCTGGCTGGCTCAGTCAGTGGAGCATGTGGCTCTTGATCTCAGGGACGTGAGTTCAAGCCCCATGTTAGGTGTAGAGATTACTTTAGAAAATGAAACTTAAATAAAAAACCAATATCACACAATAAAGTATAAACAAGACGACACCAAGTAAAAAAGCATGAAAAATATGAAAAACTTAGGGAATAATTTGTCAGAAGATGTGAAAGACCTGTATACCTTCGGCTCATGTCATCATCCCAGGGTCCTGGGATCGAGTTCTTGCTCAGCGGGGAGCCTGCTTCTACCTGCCGCTCTCCCTGCTTGTTGTGCTCTCTCTCTCTCTGACAAATAAATGAATAAAATCTTTAAAATCAAAACAAAATAAAAAACCAAAAACTACAAATGTAATAAAATGTAACAACATTAAAGAATACTTAAAGAAATTGAGAGATATACCTATTTATGAGTCAGAAAACAATATTGTTAAGATTTCAACTATCCCCAAATTGATCTATAGATTCAAATTAATCCAAATAAAAAACACAGCAGCTTTTTTGTTGTTGAAATGGACAAACTTATTCTACAATTCATATGGAAATGTAAAGGACTTAGAATAGGCAAAACAAACTCTGAAAAAGAAACCTTTATTGAAGTATAATTTACATTCCATATTTAAATTGTACAGTTCAAGGACTTTTTTTATACAAAAGTTTATTCTTAAATGTTCAACAGGCTCCAAGACAACAGTTCATTCTAGCTATAGGTGGCAACAGGTGTTATGGCAGGGAATCCAGATGTTTAAAAAGGAATGGAATTAAGGATCACCTCAGTGACCTTTATTAAATTTACCTAGTTGTGAAACCATCACCACAATCAAGTTCTAGAACATTTGTATCACCCCAATAAGATTCCTGTACTAATTTACAGTTAATGACCATTCCCATTTTCACCCCCAGGCAACCACTAATCTACAGATCTTTATAGATTTTTCTGGAAATTTCATATAAATAAAATATACAAATGCAATCCTTGATCTTTTGTGTCTTGCTTCTTTCACTTAGTGTAGTTTTTTTTTTTTTTTTTTTAGATTTTATTTATTTGACAGAGAGAGACACAGCCAGAGAGGGAACACAAGCAGGGGGAGTGGGAGAGGGAGAAGCAGGCCTCCCGCTGAGCAGGGAGCCCGACGCGGGGCTCGATCCCAGGACTCTGGGATCATGACCTGAGCCGAAGGCAGGCGCCCAAAGACTGAGCCACCCAGGTGTCCCTTAGTGTAGTATTTTTGAGGTTCCTTCATGTTGTAGTATTTATTAGTGTTTGTTCGTTTGTATTGTTGAATGCACCACGTTTTTGTGTATCCATTTACCAGTTGATGGACATTTGGATCGTCTCTACTTTTTGCCTTGTATAAATAATGCTGCTATAAATAAGTGCAAGTGTTTGTGTGAACACATTACCTATCTTTTGGGTGGATACCAGGAGTGACGTCGCTGGGTCTTAGGATAAATTTATGATGAACTTTTAAGGAAACTGCCACTTTTCCAAAGTGGCTATACCACTTTAATGCATTTACACCAGAAATGTATGAAAGTTCCTAATTCTCCATGTATTTGCCAATATTTGTTACAATTGTCTTTTTTTGTTATAGCCATTTTAGTGGCATGTAAAGTGGTATTTCATTGTGGTTTTCATTAGAATTTCCCTAATGACTAATAATGTTGGCATCTCTTTATGTGCTTACTTGCACTATTCTCTTCTTTGGTGAAATGTCTCTTCAAGTCTTTTGTCCATTTTTAAAATGGGTTGTTTGTCTTCTTTTTATTGAGTTGTAAGTGTTGTTTATATATCCTGCATACAGGTCCTTTATCAGACATAGGATTTACAAATGTTTTCTCCCAGGCTGTTTTTTTTTTTTTTTTTAAGATTTTATTTATTTATTTGGACAGAGAGACAGCGAGAGAGGGAACACAAGCAGGGGGAGTGGGAGAGGGAGAAGCAGGCTTCCTGCTGAGTAGAGAGCCCAATGCGGGGCTCGATCCCAGGACCCTGGGATCATGACCTGAGCTGAAGGCAGACGCATAACGACTGAGCCACCCAGGTGCACCCTCTCCCAGTCTGTTTTGTCTTTTCATTTTCTCAGTGGTGTCTTTGGAAGCACAAACCTTTTTGGTTTGCTGAAGTCCAGTTTATTATTTTTTTTCCTTATGGATCATGCTCTTGGTGTCCTTTCTAAGAATTTCTTGCCTAAAACAAGGTCACAGAGTTTCTCCTGTTTTCTGCTAAAACTTTTATGGTTTTAGCTTTTATATTTATGTCTATGATCCATTTTGAGTTGTTAGAATGGTGTGAAGCAAGATTTAAATTTATCTTTTTGCATGTGAATATCCAATTATCCCTCCACCAAATGTTGAAAGGCTTTTTCTTTCCCCATTGAATTGCCTTCACACTTTTGTGAAAAAAAAAAAAAAAAAAATGTTTACCAGAAGTATGAGGGTTTATTACTGGACTCTGTTCTGTTCTGTTGATCTATGTATCTATCCCCACGCCAGTACCATACTATCTCAATTACTGTAGCTTTATAATAATTCTGAAATTGGTAGGCAAATGTCCTTCCTCTTTGTTCTTTGGCAGGTTCCTTTTTGCTATTCTTTTTTTTTTTTTTTTAAAGATTTTATTTATTTATTTGACAGAGAGCGAACACAAGCAGGGGGAGCGGCAGGCAGAGGGAGAGGGAGAAGCAGGTTCCCAGCTGAGCACGGAGCCCGACGTGGGGCTCGATCCCAAGACGCTGGGGTCGTGACCTGAGCCGAAGGCAGATGCTCAACCGACTGAGCCACCCAGGAGCCCCCTTTATGCTATTCTTGATCCTTTCTAACTCTCTCTATATTTTGAAGATTAGTTTATCAGTTTTGGGGGAAGAAAGCCTGCTGGAAGTTTGATAAAATTGTATTGAATCCGTAGATCACGTGACTTTTCTTCTTCTGCTTATTAATATGATTACATTGACTGATTTTTGAATGTTGAAACAGCCTTGCATCATGGAATAAATCTCACTTGGTCATGATGTATAATTCTTTTATATGGTGTTAGGTTCAATTTGCTGATATTTTGTTGAGGATTTTTACCTCTATATTCATGAGGAATACTGGTCTGTAGTTTTTTTGTTGTTGTTATGTGTTGGTATGGCTTAAGTATCAGGGTAATACCGGCTTCACAGACTTGGAGAGTGTTCCTTCTTCCTCTATTTTTTGAAAGATTGTATGGAATTTCGATATTATTTCCCCTATAAATGTTTAATGCAACTAACCAGTTAAACCATCTGGCTTTAGGCTTTTTTGTGTGGGAAGATTTAAAGTTACTCTTTGCTTACTATTGTTGGTGAAATATAAATGGTGCAGGCATGTGAGGACCATGCCCTGGGTCTCAGATCTCAGATATCAGTTAACTGTCTTGGGGAGCTACTATGGTAGAATTGGAAGACAAGAAATAAAAATTAAAATCACACCGAGATATCACTATATACTAACCATTATGGATATATCTATATATATACCTATGTAGGTATATATATATGAGCTAAAGTAACAAAAGATGGAAAATACCAAGTACTGGCAAGAATCTGGAGCAACTAGAACCCATACACTGTGCTGGTGGGAGTGTATATTGGTAGAGCCACTTCGGAAAACTAGTTTTATAAGCTAAAGCTGAGCATATCGATACTGTATGACTTGGCAGTTCAAATCCTAGAAATATGCCTGACAGAAATTCATAAATGTGTTCATTAATAAATAGGTTCTAGGGCACCTGGGTGGCTCAGTTGGTTAAGCAACTGCCTTCAGCTCAGGTCATGATTCTGGAGTCCCGGGATCGAGTCCCACATCGGGCTCCCTGCTCAGCGGGGGGTCTGCTTCTCCCTCTGACCCTTCCCCTCTCATGCTCTCTGTCTCCCATTCTCTCAGATAAATAAATAAAATCTTTAAAAAAAAATAAATAGGTTCTAAAATATTTATAGCTATTCCTAATAGCCTGAATCCACAGACAACCCAAATGTCCATCAACAGTGGAATAAACATATTGTAGTATATTCACACAGTGGAATATAACACGACCATGAGAATGAATTATCTACAACTGTATTCAACAAAATGGATGAACCTCACATTTACAATGTGAATGAAAGATAGACACTAAAGAGTATATTCTAAAATATGAAATATAACTGTTTGGCTCAATTTATATAAAATACCAAACAGACAAAACTAATCTATGCTGTTAGAAGTCAGGATAGTGTTTATCTTGGGGGTTGAGGGGACAAGGCCTGGAAGGGAGCACAGGGAACGCTTCTGGAGTGTTTGGTATGTTGTGTTTCTTGATCTGAGTATGTTCAGTTTGAAAGAGTTCATTGAGCTGTTTGCTTATGATATCTGCATTTTCTGTATGCATTATACATTAATAAAAAGGTTTAAAAATAAGGTAAAATTGCATGCTAGAAAGCCCCTTTTCTTATGAGTATCATAAAAAACATTGAAGGGAGGGGCGCCTGGGTGGCTCAGATGGTTAAGCATCTGCCTTCAGCTCAGGTCATGATCCCAGCATCCTGGGATCGAGTCCCATATCGGGCTCCTGGCTCAGTGGGGAGCCTGCTTCTCCCTCCCCCTCTGCCTCTGTCCCTGCTCATGCTCTCTCTCTCTATCTCTGTGTCTCAAATGAATAAATAAAATCTTAAAAAAAAAAAACATTGAAGGGAAAATGAGAAAGTGTCTATATATCAATGCTTTTTTTAAAAAAAAGGCAGTGCTCTTTCTAGAGAAGTTATTCAACTATAATCAGTATATTCAACTATAACTTCCAGTTATTCAACTATAATCATATCTTAGACTAACCAAATACAGTGCAACAAGATTTTATCCCATAGCAGTTGAGACAAAAGTACTCTTAGTGTGCGTGTAGAAAATGAATGTATCTTACCAAATTGAAAGAAAAACAAAATAAAAATGTTATGTATTGAAACCCAATTTATCAACCACTCCTTTTCAAACAGGAATCCCAAAGAAAGCAGAAGCTTCAGCAGATGAGACCGGAAGTCCAGTGTCCTGTGGCTCAGTTCCATTGTTTTAGGGGGATGAGAAGTCTATGGTCTGCAGCTTACATAAATGATAGCTTTTGGGGTACAGGTTAGAAAGTATGCATACCTTTTTGGGATGTGAATCACCTGCTGTCACAGCACGGAAGTAATGAGACAACAGTTGCCAACTTTAGATGTCTGTAAGGTTTAATAACTATATTCCTGTTAACATCGGCTAGAGCTATGCCTAATTTGCCAATGCATAAAGTCATTTTAAACTTAAAGTGAGACTTTGGGTTTAAAAATTCTATTTCGTTTTTTAAAAACATACTCTGGTGAAGGGAAGAGAAAGAACAGTTCCCCATGGCAATTTTTTCTGTGCCTTAAATGTCCACGATCACAAAAACTTCTGGCTTCTACTCACAGATCTGCCTTCCCAAATAAGTTTTTGCCTTGACTTTGGTGCTCTGTAGGTGTTTGGACAATGAAAACGCTTCTCCCCACCCTAGGAATTCGGGAAAAAAAAAAAAAAAGGTGGCCAATATTAAGTACTTTAAATCCCAGGGTATGAAGAACTAATCAGTGCTGAATTTATAAAGTCCTTCATCCAAAAAGTGAAACATAAGAGATTACAAGTCATCTCCTGGGGTCTGTCTTTCTACCATCTCCTGGGGTCTGCTTTCTACCATTTGTATGAGCTTGAGGGTCTCTGTGTGAATCATGCAACCAAACAGGACTATCGCTCAAATGCCTTATCAAAGTGTCTCCCTATGCATATAACTGCATGTCAACTGTGGTGGTGCAGATACTTGTATTTCCAATTGACTGAAGGATACTTGGCTCTGTTTGCCTTCTGCTTACTTAAGCTGTGGTCTGTCATGCCCATCTCCCCCTGTACCCCAATCGCAGCATCCGGCACTCCTCTTCCCCACTATGAGACGTCTGATGCATCCCCAGTTGTGAGTTCCCGCTGAAGGCTTTTTCAGTCAATGGCTTTATACTTTTTCTCCACTATGTGTTTTCTGGTGTTTAATGAGATTCGATCTGTCCGTGAAGGCCTTCTGACATTCTGTACAAGCATAGGGTTTCTTTCCGGTATGAATAATCTGATGCATACTTAATGTTGCTTTCTGGATGAAGGCTTTCCCGCATTTACTGCATTCGTAGTGTCTTTCTCCAGTATGAGATTTCTGATGGATAGTGAGGCGGGACTTCCAGGTGAAGGTTTTTCCACAGTCACTGCATTTATAGGGTTTCTCTCTAGTATGGATTTTTTGGTGTGTTATAAGATTTGACCTGTCAGTGAAGGCCTTTCCACATTCAGCACATATATTGGGTTTCTCTCCTGTGTGAATCTTCTGATGCACACGGAGTTGCGACTTCTTAGTAAAGCATTTCCCACAGTCACTGCATTCATAAGGCTTCTCTCCAGTATGAATTCTATGATGTGCAATGAAATGTGACTTCTGGATGAAGGCCTTCCCACATTCAGGACAAACGTAGGGTTTCTCTCCTGTGTGGATCCTCTGATGCACACTTAATGTCGATTTCTGGATAAAGGCTTTCCCACATTCATTGCATTCATAGTGTCTCTCTCCAATATGAGATTTCTGATGTATTTTGAGGCGTGACTTCCATATGAAGGCTTTTCCACAGCCATTGCACTTATAAGGCTTCTCTCCAGTGTGAGTTTTCTGGTGTTTAATGAGATTTGACTGGTCACTGAAAGCCTTGCCACATTCAGCACACATATAGGGTTTCTCTCCAGTATGAGTTTTCTGATGTGTAGTGAGGTTTGTCCTATGAGTAAAGACCTTTCCACATTCTGTACATATATAGGGTTTTTCTCCAGTGTGAATTCTTTGATGTACATGGAGTTGTGACTTCTTAGTGAATGATTTTCCACACTCACTGCATTCATAAGGCTTTTCGCCAGTATGGATTCTCTGATGTGTATTGAAATGTGATTTCTGGATGAAGGCCTTCCCGCATTCAGTGCATACATAGGGTTTCTCTCCTGTGTGGATTCTCTGATGCATTCTGAGTGCTGATTTTCTTGTGAAGGCTTTCCCACATTCGCTGCATGCATAGTGTTTCTCTCCAGTATGAGTTTTCTGATGTATAGTAAGGTCTGAATTCTGGGAGAAGCCTCTTCCACATTCACTGCATTCATATGGTTTTTCTCCTGTATGAATTCTCATATGTCTAAAGAGATACGATCTGTGGAAAAAGGCTTTTCCACATTCAGTGCATTTATAGGGTTTCTGCCCGGTATGAATTTTCTGATGTGTAATGAGGTTTGACTTGAGAGTAAAGGCCTTCCCACACTGAGTACATATATAGGGTTTATCTCCTGCATAAACACTTTGAGGTACATTAATCTGTGGCTTCGGAATGAGGGCTTTGTCACTTTTATGGCATTCATGGGATTTTTCCTCAGCATGAATTCTCTGATGCTCAAAGAGATGTGACTTCTGGGGGAAGCTCTTTACACACTCAGTACATACATAAAGTTGCTCCCCAGTCTGAATGTTCTCATGGTGGATGAGAACTTGTTTGTTGCCAAGATGTTTTTCACATCGATTAATTTCACAGGAATTTGCTCCTGTATTTGCATTCTCAGTAGAGGAAGAGCTATGGGCAAAATTATTATCATTTCCAAAAATCTTATCAAGCTTCTTTGTTGCATTGCTTTTATTATGATTGTGTAAGTTTAAAGTATGCTTCAAACTCTTTCCAAATGTGTCATAGTTATGGAGTCTTTTAATTGAAGGAACAAGCTTGGTACTCACGTGAATTATTTTTTCAGTATTTTTACATTCATAGGCCCTCTCCTTAATCAGTACTTTCACATGACTTAAAGGGTTATTTTGGCTTTCTTGGTATCTCTCTAGCTGGCTATTATTTTGCCACAATTCTTCTAAAATGGAACACAATGGATCTTTTCCTATGGGCTGACCAAATTTCTCACAGTGGAATGAAACTTTTCCAGAAATTCTCTGTTGCTGCATTTCCCCAATAGCCTCGTCTAAAAAGAAGAAAAAAGTAAAAATGACTCAAAGGACAATTAGCAGAGGGTAGGGGGTACCTGTAGTTCAGACAAGATGAGTGCAGAAATGGAAGAGTCCATATGATAATAATGAAAATAGTAATAATGTAGTAATACAAAATTCTTCTAAAGCACTTACTGTTGCAAAATAATTATATACCATTTACGATGTGCCAGGCACCGTTCCAAGTGCTCTACACATAATAGCTCACTGGATCCTCACCAAACCCTAAGCAGCAGCCATCATTACCAATCATGTTTCACAGATGAGAAAACAGAAGCACAGAGGTTATGTAACGTGCTGAAGATCAAATTGCTAAATAAGTGAAAGAGATGGGATTTGAATCCTGGGGATTCATATCCACTATGTAGGAGGTCTGGAGAGTGAGTCTAACCAGAAGAAGAAACCGAAGTCTGTTAAAGGGAAGTCCTAGCATGGCAGAAATAGTTCAGATTGTATGTCTTTATTACTTATTAGCTCTAAACCTTCCTAATCTCTTTGCTTTCTCTCACTTTTCCCTCTGAACCATATGAGCACCAACATAAAATTTATGTGCCTCAAAGACCCATTCCTCTACATCTATAGGAAACACTGTGGCAACATCAGCCATCCAAATAGTCAGTAGATATCTGTGCTCCCACTCTATAGCCAGCTGCAAGTTTTCCTTGGTCCCAGGGACCAAGGACCTGGGGACCACGTGCTTTCAACAAGTGTCAAGTAGGCAAGGGAAAGCCACCTATGGCAGAACTGCAAGCCATCCACCAAAAACGATTTGCATTTGTCTCTTCTTTTATACTACTAGGATGTAGCTGGGCATTACATTTACCAGCCTCACTTTGTCCTCACCAGTGGAGTATGAGTACAAGTGGTATGTGCGGCTGCCAGGCTGGGCCTTAAGACAGTGGGCAAAACTCTCCCCCTCTCTCCTTCCCACTGGACTCAACGATGACCCAACATTAACCACGCAGCTGACAACGATGCCCTAGGAGACGGCAGAGCAATGACTTGGAACATGGTCCCTGAATGACCCATTGGGATCAGAGTTGACTTGTTGAATGAATCCATTCATCTCAGAATTCTTATATAAAAGAGGATATACATTGATACTAAGCTTGTTGTTTCGCTCCTCTGCATATTCAAAATGTATTGTCCTTGGTATTAGCTCTAATTTCAGTACACTTCTAGGGAGGTTATATCCACTATGAATTTACAAGTCGGACATGGTACCACTCATATCGATACTTAATTTGGCCCAGTTTTCTTTGGAAACACAAAGCCTGCAACTGTGAACATTTCATGCAGCTGTCTCCTCTTTCCAAATATAATCTATGGTCCTTTGAATTCCTCTGAGCAGACACTTGAAAAATCCTTCCAAAAGAGAGAAAATTTCCTCCTCTGCCTATCTCCCCAAATTCAATAAATTTAAGTTTACCAAACATTTTCCATGCTTTGCTTCAGAAAATGGAAGAATAAATGTGCTGGGTATCAACTTATTGCCTCTCAACTCTGAATTCATGCCTCTTTGCCTGCTCTACAAAAAAATGGATCTGAGTCTCTTTAAATATCTGTCCCACTGTTGAGCCTTTTCAGCACAGGGTGATGGCGAAACACTGCAGGAGGAGGGGGTTTTGCTTCCTGGCTCTGGTGGGCTCACTCAGCGGGCTCCTCCAACAAGGGCTGCTTATCTGGCACCAGGCTCCCGCGGTGCAGGTGGCTTTGCCAACACTGGGCTCCTGAGGCACACGCAGCTTCCCACGCACCCAGGTCTTGCGGTGTGGGTGGCTTCTCTGGGCCTCAGCTTCTGCAGTGCGGATGACTTTTCTAGCACCCAGCTCCTGCAGCACTAGTAGCTTCTTCAGCTCCAGGCTCCTGCAGTGTGTTGCAGTTGGCAGCACACGGCACCGAGCAGTTGACCCTGGCACCCCTCGCAGACGATGTGTAGGGGGCTACCTCCAATGAGAAGCTTCCCCATGATCAGCTTTCTCTGGAACCCCCGAGGGCAGCTTGCCAGCAAGTTCCACCAGCGTGGCACCACAGTAACTCTTCTTCCATGCTCTGGGCCCTGGCTGGGTCCCTCAACAAGGTCTGGATTCATCGCTGGGAAGCAGGGGAGGCTCTTCCTTGGGTGCTCCATCACAGCCTGAGACGCACCGGCTGTTCCTTTTATCTGCTATTCCGCTATTCCTTTATTCTTTAGCTTTCCCTTTACTTCTGCTAGCTAATCTCTTGTCACTTCCATCTTGCCAGAGCTAATAATTCTTTATGTTATGCTTTCCCTGTTCAAATTTGTATGTAGTTTCTCTCCCTGATCAGCCCCTGAATTATACAATAAGAAACAGGCTTTTAGTTCTGGGAACTTTCTAAAAACATAGAGGTAAAGGCCTCAGTTACCACACAGTCTAAAATCTGTGCTTTTTTTCCTGAGTTCCTGTGGGAAGAAAGGTGAGGAAAAGGAAAGAGCCATATGTGCTGGAGTAAATGAGCCATTTCATGGAACACCAAAATCTGATCACCAGGTGAAAATGTATCATCTAAATAGAGCACAGAATAAAGAGTCAGATTCACAGAACACTAACAAATGTGGTAGACATCAAGAAAATGTTAAAGATGCACAGCAAAAGAAACAATCAAAAAAATGAAAAAGCAACCTACGTAAGGGGAGAAGATATTTGCAAGTCATGCATCTGAAGGAGTTAATATCTAAATTACATAAAGAACTCATACAACTCATTGGCACAAAATAAGCAAACCAATTAAAATTGGGTAGAGGAACTGAATAGACAGTTTTCCAAAGAAGATGTCCAAATGGTCACTGAAAGTGAACTAATAAAAAGAATGGAATCAGCAAATTCAATCAGGAATAAAATCATCGTAATCCAGGCATAAGAAAATATGGAGCTGGTTTTAGGTGATATTACTGGGAACTGGAGAGATGAACTGAGAACTGAAAATGATAATTGCAAAAATGGAAAAGCACTAGGAACTGTAGGGTGACTAATTAAAAAAAAACGGCTGAAAGATTTAAGAAGCACTGACAGAATGTGACAGAATTTGGAAGGTGGGAAGGTGATGTGTGAGATGATGATTCTAATTTCTAACGTACTGAGGGTCAAGAGAAACGTCTCATGGGAACTTTCTGGGTAGCTAAATCTAGTACTAAAGTACCAGTGAAAACCAGACTGGAGTTGTCAAAAGCAGAGTCATCAGAATTCAGTATGGATGAATCTCTGCATGTATATGAAGAAAAGATTGGTGAACAGCAGGGTCCCTAGGGGCAACCTCATGTATGGGGGTAAGGAAGAGGAGAAGGCTGGAAAAAAGGGTGAGTAATAAACTGGGTGCGAATCAATAAGAGACAGGAAACTCAAGTGAAACAAGACAAGGTCACTCATAAAAGGAAAACTCAAGGAGACCACAACAGGTCAATAATGAAAGGCTGAAACTAGGTACTGGAGAAATGCAAAATAAAAAATGAGATACCATTTTATACCCATTGTTGGCCAAAAAATGAGAAACTCTGGCTCTATTCATTGGTGGGCAGAAACTCTAGGAAAGCAAGAAGCTTTGCGCACCATGGTTAGTATAGATTCGTGCAGCCAATCTGAGAACAATATGGTGGTGCTCGGTCAAATTCAGGATAAAACTTTGCAATGATTAGGCAGATCCCCTCTTCTATAAACATTCCCAAGAAATTCTCACCTTCCAAAAGGGAATATTTTTGTAGAAATTTATCGTCAAGTTGTTTGTATTAGCTGGGAGTTTGTATTAGCAACAACCCTAGGTTCCACCACTGAGTGAATGGTTAAGTAAGATGTGGTACCAGCACACTGTGGAATACTATGCAGCCATTTGAAAGAATGAAGCCAGATGAACACACTGCAAAATGGACGGTCTCATGGATGAGTGAAAAAAAAGGAACAGAATTAAGACATGTGGTGCGATATAATTTACATATACTAAAAACACATACTCAGAAACCAGTATTTCAGGCTTTTAAAGAATACCACACAAATTCACAGATAAAACACAGTAGCTCAGTTGCCCCTGGGAGGAGGTATAAGGAATGAACATGTGGAATTGGAATAAAAGGGAAGAAATGTTAAAATACCTGAATGTACAAAAAGAATCTAAGATAAAGCGGGTGGGAGTGGAGTAGGAAGAATGAAAAGATCTTAGATAAGATAGGGTAGTATGCATGTGATCCAGGGTACAGAGACTAGAGACAGCTCTCTTGTCAAAAAGCCAAGCAATGAAGACAATGGCTATTTGCAAGGGTCGAACTTGGAGAAACTGCTTAGGTATCAAAGGAGCTTCTGTGAACTATCTCCAATAAACTACAGAAGTTTAGAACTTTCAGGGTGCCTGGGTGGCTCAGTCGGTTAAGCGCCTGCTTTTGGCTCAGGACATGATCCTGGGGTCCTGGGATCGAGGCCCGCACTGAGCTCCTTGCTCAGCGGGGAGCCTGCTTCTCCATCTCCCTCTGCCCGCCACTCCCCCCGCTTGTGTGCTCTCTCTCTCGCGCGCGCGCTCTCTCTCAGTCAAATAGATAAATCTTAAAAAAAAAAAAGAAGTTTAGAACTTTCAAGGCAGGTTATCTTCACAGCCTTTCAAAGGTATCAGCTTCTTCTAGAAAAAGTGAGATTTACTTCCATGTCCGCCATCTGCCTGAGTCAAACTCACTCACCTGAACAGCCCTGATGTGGGGTTTCCCCCTCCAATGTCCATGGCCCCTCTCCTTGCTCCAACTTGAAGATGACCTCTGGTTTGGGAACCTGGTACCCTGTTAACAGGAGATGGTACAGGATTGGGTCCAGCTGACTAGATTTCAGGGGACTTTCAATGACGTTTCCATTTGCTCTTCTGAAAAGTAATCACATTTCACTGGGAACAGAGTAATAATGATAGTGCCGAAAAGGGACTGAAGAATCTTGGACAAATCAAGGATGACACCATCACACACTTAAGATGTTCCAGAACATCCAGCAGCTGAGAATGGAAATAGCCACACTCAGGCGCCTGGCAGACACACAGGCAGCTGGCTTACCCACTGAGCGCAAGTGGCTGTAATTCTCCAGCGTCACATCCCGGTAAAGGCGTCTCTGAGCAGGGTCCAAGTGCTGCCACTCCTCCCTGCTGAAGTCCACAGTCACATCCTCGAATGACATGGAGACCTGTAACAACACAGTCCCGTTCAAGGCGACATGGTCAGCACTGGGGGTTGGAAGGAAGACAAATAGGAAGTTGTCTTTAATGATGTTTTACCATAACATATCACATAGGGTTTTCACTCAATACCTGGTTTTGTATTTCATTTTGTGAGAGAAAAAAAATTACTGAAGTATCTTGACATTCATTGTGTATGTAGTACGTTCATTTGTTTATTTATTCAGTCATTCTTCTGCAAAAATGAGGATTAAAATAGGCTTTCTTTAAGTCCTTTAGTTCATGTAACTACATATATTTACTGATTGATTATGTGCCAGGCCATGGCAATATAGAATTGAATAAAATAGAAATTGAATAAAAAGAAACACATAGAGGAAAAGGCAAAGTAATAGAGCCTTTAAAAACAATACAGAAAATTCAGTCCTGGGTTTTGGCACCAAAAAAAAAAAAAAAAAGAAAAAAGAAAAAAGATAATATAGGGGCGCCTGGGTGGCTCAGTTGTTAAGCGTCTGCCTTCGGCTCAGGTCATGATCCCAGGGTCCTGGGATCGAGCCCCGCATTGGGCTCCCTGCTCTGCGGGAAGCCTGCTTCTCCCTCTCCCTCTCCCCCTGCTTGTGTTCCTTCTCACTGTGTCTCTCTCTGTCAAATAAATAAAATCTTTAAAAAAAAAAAAGATAATATAGATAAATACCTTCATGCTCTCAGATTAGGAAAATAATTCTCAAACAAGATGCAAAAAAACATTAACCATAAAGAAAAAGGTTGATGTCTGGCTACAATAAATTTTTAAACTTCTATTCATTTAAAAGACAGCATTATAAGAGAAGAAAAGGAAAGACACAGAATAGGAAGAGATACCTGCAACACATGGTACTGTCAAAGGGTTCATATCAAGAGGATGTAAAAAACTCTTACAAACCAATAAGAAGAAAGGAGACCACCGAGTAGAAAAGTGGGCAAAGCATTTGAACGGGCATTTTACAAAAGGGGAAATCCAAGGTTTCAATAAACACAAAAAGGGCTTAACCTTAGTAACCAGGGAATGCAAATTTAAACCACAAGGCTCAGTTGCTTGGGCGTCTGCCTTTGGCTCAGGTCATGATCCTAGGGTCCTAGGATCAAGCCCCGCATCAGGCTCCCTGCTTGGCGGGGAGCCTGCTTCCCGCTCTCCCACTCCCCCTGCTTGTACACACATACTCTCTCTCTCTCTGTGTCAAATAAATAAATAAAATAAAATCAATAAGCCACAGTGAGATACCACTATACAACCCCCAGAATGTCCTCAATGAAAAAGACTGATGGTACAATGTGTTGAGGAGAATATGGTGCAATGAGAACTCTCATATTGCTGATGGTGATCTAAACTGGTGCAACTATGTTGGAAAGCATTTTGTCTTTACTGGGTAATGTTAAAGCATGCATACACTAGGACACCGTGATTCCATTCATGGAAATATGCCCAATTAGAATATGTGTACATCTGCAAGAGGAGGCATGGCCAAGAATATTTATAGCAGCATTATTCAAAATGTGTGTAATATTTCATGATAAAAAGTTAAAAATTAATAGTAATTAAAAAAAATCAGTGTTCAACGTAATAGTAACAGTATCTGCTCTCTTTGCCAAAAATATTAAGAATATTCTCTGGGGTGCCTGGGTGGCTCAGTTGGTTTAATGACCGACTCTTGATTTTGGCTCAGGTCATGATCTTGGGGTGGTGAGGTCGAGCCCTGTGTCAGGCTCTGCACTCAGTGCAGTCTGCTTGAGATTCTCTCCCTCTCTCTCTGCCCTCCCCCCAACTCATGCTCTAAATAAATAAATAAATAAATAAATAAATAAATAAATAAATAAATAAAATCTTTTTTAAAAAAGAATATTTTCTTAGTTGCTTTTATTTGCATAATCCCTAAGCCTATAACCCACCTACCCACCCACGAACTAACCATGACTGGTTTTCTAGTTAGCGAGATCTGGGGAGTTGAGGGAGAGAACCATGTGAATGTATTACGTATTCAGAAATTAAGCTAAAAATTACCAATGGGACCAAAATGGAATAGGCATAATTCTCTCTATTTCTCCTGCTAAGTTTAGCTAAAACCCCTAGACATTATATATAAAACAAAGATAAGAACACTATGCCAGTTGGAGAGAGGAAGGCAAACTTGCCATGATCCTCAGAACCTGAGGAATGTCACAGTGGTGATTTCCCCGCGTTTTCTTTTTGCCCCACATTTCTTGGACTAGGTGCTAGAGAAACTGGCAACCTAGAATGCCAGCTGGCACAGCCAGAAACAGCCCCAGGAAAGCCTGCTTTCACTAGTTAAAGTACCAGGAAAAAAGGCAACGTAGCAAGAGAGAAAAACTTAAGGGCACCTGGGTGGCTCAGTCGGTTAAGCGTCTGCCTTCGGCTCAGGTCATGATCCCACGGTCCTGGGATTGAGTCCCGCATCCGGCTCCTTGCTCTGCAGGGAGCCTGCCTCTCTCTCTCTCTCTCCTCCCGGCTTGTACTCTCTCACTGTCTTTCCTTCTCTCTCTCAAATAAATAAATAAATAAAATCTTAAAAAGAGAGAGAGAAAAAAACTTAAATAATACTGCCCTGTTCCAGGCAAGCATCACAGAAAAAAATAAATAAATAATAAAAAAACCAAACTGTGCTCCTACTCCCATTCCCATCAGCAAAGGATGAATGGGGAGCCTAGAATTTCATCCCAGCCTGGGATGATGGTAATGAGACCCCTTGCCCACAGTGTCAATTTAGGCTGTGTGGGGATCTTGGACTTCCACCCCCACTCGATAAAAAGGTGTCCTCTGCCTTCCCACCAGGGTGGTGTCAGAGGTGGTGTGGTGGAAAGCCTGAAATTCTACCCCTGCCCAGTAGCAACAAGGTGCTTGTCCCCTTCTGGGTGTCAAAGGAGGTCAACTGGGGAACCTGAACTTTACCTCCCCCTGGCAATAAGGAGCATTTTTCAGAATCCTCTTCAGAAAAAGAAGATTCTCATTTTCTAGCAGAACAGTGTCAGAGGAGGCCTGTTAAACACAAGATTTAAATAATATCTAGAATCTCATAGTTCCCAAAATATCCAGGACATACTTGAAAATCAGGCTTCATGAGAAGAAGCAAAAAAAATCTCAACTGGTGCGAGAAAAGACAATCAAGAGACACCAACATTGAGATAACACAGATGTTAGAATTATGTGACAAGAATTTTAAAGCAGCTATCATAAAAATGTTTCAGTATACTTAAAAGAAATTTGAAAATAGAAAGCCTTAGCAAAGAAAGAAAAGATATGAAGACAAACTGAATGGAAATTTTAGAACTGACAAATACAATGACTGAAAATTTAAAACTCCACTGTGGGCTCAACAGCAGAATAGAGAGGACAGAGGAAAGAATCAGAGACCTTGACAATGGAACCATGGAAATGATCTAATATGAACAGAAAGGAAAATTGGCTGGAAAAAAAAATGAGCAGAGCCTCAGGGACCTGTGAGACTATAATAGAAGATCTGGCATTTGTGTCATCAGAGTCCCAGAAGGAGAGGAGAAAACGTGTGGGGCTGAAAAAGTATTTGAAGAAATTGGCTGAAATTTTCTCTCATCTGGCAAAAATATCAACTTAGAGTTTCAAGAAGCTGAGCAAACCCCAAAAGGAAAAATCAAAAAAATCTACACCAAGACACATAATCAAACTTCAGAAAACTAAAGACAAAGAAAAAAAATCTTAAAATCAGCAAGAGAGAGACCACAACTTACCTATGGGGGGAAAACAATTAAAGTGACAGGAGATTTCTTATCAGAAACCATGGAGAAGAGATGAAAGTGGCACAACATTTTTCTTTTTTTTTTTCCAAAGATTTATTTATTTATTTTAGAGGGGGGACGGGCAGAGGGAGAGGGAGAGGGAGAGAGAATCCTCAAGCAGACTCCCCATTGAATGCAGAGCCTGATGCAGGGCTTGATCCCAGGACTCTGAGATCATGACCTGAGCCAAAATCAAGAGTCGGCTGCTTAACCAACTGAGCCAATGAGGTGCCCCGGCACAACATTTTTAAATGCTTGAAGAAAAGAACTGTCAACCCTGAATTCCATATCTGGCAAAACTATCTTTAAGAAATGAAGTGGTAACAGGCACCTGGGTGGCTCAGTTGGTTAAGTGTCTGACTCCTGATTTCGGCTCAGGTCATGAGATCAAGTCCTGCGTTGGGCTCCATGCTGGGCATAGAGCCTGCTTAAAATTCTCTCTCTTCCTCTGCTCCACCCCCCATCCCCCCAAAAAGAAACGAAGTGGTAATGGCCAATAAATACATGAAAAGGTGCTTGGCATCATTAATAATCAGGGAAATACAAGTCAAAATTACAATGAGATACTACCTCATACCCACTAGGATGGCTAGAATCAAAAAGTCAGAAACAGCAAGTGTTGGTGAGGATGTGGAGAAATTGGAACTTTCATATGTTGCCAGGGGAGTGTAAAATGGTGCAGCTGCTTTGGGAAACAATCTGGCGGTTCCTCAAATGATTAAACATAGTTATCATTTGACCCAGCAATTCCATTCCTAGGTACATGCATCCGCAAGAGAAATGAAAATATATGGCCACATAAAAACATGTACACATATGTTGAGAGCAGCATTCTCATACTAGCTAAAAGGTGGAACCACCCCAGTGTACATCAGCTGATAAATGGATAAACAAAATGTGACACATCTATACAATGGAATATTATTCAGCCATAAAAAGGAATAAAATGACTGACACGTTACAACATGTACATGTACAACGTGCTACACTTTTTCCCTATCTGTATCTATGTACGATTTTACCCACCTATATGGACTGGCGACTTCCTACTTTATTCATCAGGTTATACATAATCTATTACTATCATTATTTATTTTGCTTCTCAGATTGTCCCAGATTTTCCCAGAGGGAGTTCCTTGAAACATTATGCTGAGTGAAAGAAGCCAGACACAAAGATCACAGATTATATAAGTCCATTCAT